GGCTCTCCGGGTCTTGCAGCCCAACAGTGGATGAGGAACTTGGGACCACGCCATAGACAAAGACAAAGAGACTTGTCAGTACCTCGGTGCACCGGCCGGAAGATGTGAGGGGCGGGTGGTCTCTGCTATCAGCTGACAGAAACTGCAGGTCGCAGGAGAGCAAGGCAGTGGTACTAACCATCAAGAGAGTCTACCTGGCCCCAGACTCCCTCACATCTGAAACCCCAGTAGGGCCAGGGAAGGCAGCACCCTTTCAGCAGAGAAAAATCAAATCCTGCTCCTTTTCGTCTTCAATCTCATCTCCACTCAGGGCTCTGAGGTGATGCTTCACACATCACCCGCTTACTCATGGGCTTGGGGTTCAGAAGCTGGGCTCTGCTTCGCATGGCTTCCCCTGCCTGAATCTGAGGAAGAGGAAGGGCTGGCTGGGCTCAAGGCCTCTTAGACAGTGTTTATACGTGTGCAAGTAAGGGGTGCTTCCATGTGCATGATGGTATGTGTGTGGGTGGTGTGTGGGTGTGTATAGTGGGTATGAACATGTGTGGTACCTGTGCATACATGCTTGGGAACAGGCATGTGATATGGTGGATGTACATATGTGTGTGTGTGTGTGTGTGTGTGTGATAGGTGTGCCTAGCAGGAGTGCTTCTGTGCGTGACAGGTATGCCTGTGTGCTTAGTGAGTCAGAGTACATGTATGGTGAGTGTGCATGTATGTGGGGGGTGCCTATGAGTGTGCATGTCTCTGGATATGCGTGTGCAAGATGGGTGTGACTTTGTGTCTAATGGGTATGCATATATGTGTGAGTGTACTTGGTAGCTGTGTATGTGTGCCTTGTGGGTATGCCTATGTACTTAGTGGGTGTGCATGTGGGGGGGGGTGAACGTATACTTGGTCAGTGTTGGTTTTGGCGTAAGTGTGTTGGTGTTATTTGGGTGTGTTTGGGAGGTGTGCACATATGCATGATAGGTGAGCATAGACAAGCATTTGGCACACAGTGTGCCTGAGTATAGATATGTATGTGTGTGCATACATGTGAATGCCTGAATAGCTCCAGACAATGGCTGTTTGTACCTGTGGGAACTGAGTCACAGTCCTATCCCACTCTAGAGCAGGTGGAAGTCCCAGATCACAGTCAAACCTGCAAACACAGCTTCCGATTCCAAGTTGACTTGGGCACTGCAGAGCTAAGCCCTGAGTGGGGGAACCTGCCCTGAGCGGGACACCAAGGCATCTGTGGGGACAGTGACGCTGCAGACATCCAGGTGAGGGAGGCAGATATTTTCTCCTGCCGAGACCAGCACCTAGCTTGGACCTCGTCTTTCAGTCAGAGTTCAAGTGCTACCACACTTCTGCATTCCACACCCACTCTGCCCCCTCCTCCCTCCACAGGGCTAAGTAGCAACCCCCATGCACAGCTGGTGCATTTGTGACATCACTCCTTGTTGAGTGATCTCAGAAGATGGCCCTGGACATGTCTGGAGTGGGACCAATTTATTACTAGTCGCTTGGGTTTTGGAACCACTACCCTGAGTTTGGGAGTTCCCGTGCAGCCGGTGTGCTCCACGAACTTGGCTGCCTGTGGTGACCCTGCAGGGTTATTTGCTTCATAAGTGCATTTGGTCTCTTACATTCATGTTCCATTTGAGGATTTAAGCTGGCATTCTAGAACATTCTCCGCACAGGTTGTGTAAATAAATCAGTAGAACACAGGGAGGGGAGGCTGGAAGCAGCAGTGGCACCCACTGTCTCCATTTCTCACCTCCCACAAGCTCCACAGCCTCCTCCAATCTGGCGCCCAAAGCCAAAGCGTTCTCCACCCGCGGCTCCTCAGGACCACCGGAGCCTGGTGTACATCTCACTCCACGCCTCTGCAACCCAAGATAGCTGCTGGCCACTCCCTTCCAGAAGCCGTGTCTGTGTGAGCTTGGACAGCACCCTCTGGCCCCTCTTCCCGGTCTGGCCACCTCGCTGTCTGTACGGAGTGACATAAGGCCTCCCAGCCCAGGGCCCCAACTCTTATCCCAGTCCTGAGCCACTCTGGTACCCTGTCTGAACTGGGGAGCCTCTCACTCCACCGCCACGAAACCACCAGCCTTCCTCTGGGGCCCACTCCAGCTGACAGCTCCGTCTCCACTCCCACCTCCCCATGTATGTTGTCACCCTACAGACCCACTGGAAGTCCCCAGCGTGTGCCCGCCCTCTAGAGGACACAGCTGCCTGGCTTTCTACCGGCTCCGGGCTCCCAGTGTCACAGCCCCTGGGAGCTTTGGTGACCTGTGTTTGCAGTTCATCAAGCACAACTCACCATGTCTCCACTAGGGGGCCCACATCATCTCCTTGCAATGTCAACCACAGTCCCCTCCCTGAAGAGGGCTCCTGGCATGGCCGCCAGTCCAGGGTTCTTGGAACAGAGGTTTGGGAGAGTTGGGATTACTGTCCCATGAATAGCATAAGATGATACTGTAGGGATCCCTCCCCTGAATGAACAAGTTGCATGAACCCCCACTCCTTCCCCCATCCTCATCCCCACCCCCACCCCACCCCCACCCCCACCCCCACCCCACCCCCACCCCCACCCCACCCCCACCAAAAGGGCCAGACTCCCAGCTGAAGAGGCCTTGGCTTGTTCTTGACGAGCAATCGTGGAGGAGATGTCTGCAATGGGAGAGTCAAAGCAGACATCAGGAATGACGGACACCTGTGCTGTCAGGCAGTGCTGGCTGCTCCCAGGAGGCTCTCATTGGTTTTGCAGCCAGCCTAGACCTCTAGGACATACGTCCCCGGCACCTTGGCCTCTGAAACCCTTAATTCCTCATATAAGAGGCAGCAAGCACAGAGGGGAGGTCTTAGCCTGCCCTCAGCCTTTCTTCTCTTTGCCTGGAACACTCCCCCCCAGGAAACTTTTTACTGCTCAACTCTTAACTCCAACATCACACTGCAAAGGCACTGGGACTCAACCCTGGGGAACAGCACCCGCCCACCAGGGGGGCAAGCCTTTTGCATATCACCCTGTCTTGTCCTTCACAAGTCATCTCCTTTATTGATTCCTTTTTTTTTTTTCTTTCCTTGTTTCTTGTCCTGAAATCTCCTCTCTTCATGGTCCTGCACTAAAGAGACGCTCAGTCTATCTGCAAAAACTAAAGGAAAGGACTGGATGGCTATGGGGACCACAGAAGCCAGTGATAAATCTTCCCAGGCCTTGATCAGTTTAAGATAGGGGCAATAAGGTGAACCCCTTCAAAACGTTATGCCTTCTCCAGGAATGGCCAGAACCAGCTGAGTTCCAACATGTGACCACCTACGTGGATGCTGGCCACATCCTACCACACTGACCCCAGATGATTCCCCCTACTTCTCAGATACCAGTGACAAACCAAAGTTCAAGTCCCCCAGTGTTCTTCATGAGGCACCAATGAGTCCATTGGGCTTGCTTACAAAGCATGGGTATTGACTACTGACAGGAGTTTGGGGACCTCATCACCACCACAAGCAAATGCACTGAAGTCTTCACTTCACAGCATGCTTGCTGAGCCCGTCACCCTCTGGCCCCTCTTCCCGGTCTGGTCATGGATGATGGCTTCCCCATAAGAGGAACCTCCTTCCCCGAATCTTCTCCAGCCTATATGCTGAACCTCCCCCGCAAGACTCTGATGTCACAAGGCCCATGCAGAATTGCATGCAACTGTTTAGAACGAATAGCTGGATACTCAGATAAGGGTCCTATGTCCTTCCTTACCCCTCCTTCTATGAGGGAATGTCAACTGTCAACAAGGCCATGTGGGACCTTTTGCAAACAAGTGCAGCTGAACTCATGAAGATGCCAGCCATCTGGCTCAACAGGATAGTCCTGTCTAACAACTCCCCAAAATGGGCTCTCCACCTTGGAAGCCCCAGTGGAAAGCCCAAAGTGCCTTTCCACTCAGGGTTTCAGCCAGCCTCCAAACCATGTTACAAGGCTGGAGCAACCCAGCCTCATGATAAAGAGATACCTAAACTGAATTAGGAGTCTTGGTTAAGGTCACAGCTAGAAATTGGGCTATTTGGGGTTCCAGGAGCCATACAGGGGTGATCTGGACTGAAACTGTTGCTGTCTGATGAGGATGTTGGGAGAAGCCTTCTATTGCTACCCCATCAGCTGGGGCAGGTGAACAGATGTTCCTCCAGCTGGGAAGACCAGCTGCCTAGGGCCATGGTGTGTGTTTTTTTACGTATTGGGCAGATCCACCCAAAGACACTTTGAGACTGTAGGAGTCCAGATGAACCTGACATCCTTGTAAGCAACAGTAGCCCATGTCAGGGTTGCTCAAGGCTCAACCTGAAGCCAAGACAAGACTTGGCCCATGACTAGCATCAGGGCTCAGCCTGGTATTGGGGTATTAAGCAAGAGTTCCTAGATGGCCAAGAGGCAAATCCCTTCTTGAAACAGTCAGTCGTGTGCCTACGTGCCTCTCTGCCATCTGGGAGCAGAACAGAAGATATTTCTGACAGCTGCTGGCCACAATCCCCATAAAGCCATAAAGCAGAAACTGACTTTGAAATGGCCCTTTCTCCGCCTGTATCTCCGGACATAAATTTAAATAAAATGGCAATTTAAATGCCTGCAACATCAAGGAGATGGTGTGGGGCTGTCTCTGCAGGCTTTGTGGGGAGACAGAACGCAGCCCTAAACCCATCATCCTGCGACACACGGGTGAGAGTTGGCGCAGGGGCAGAAGGGGGGGCCACCAGTTCTTTGCAGCAGAGGATACCCAGTAAGCTCTGCTCTCTCTGCCTTGGAGCCCTAAGGATGCCGTGGGGTACACAAAGCAAAGGCAGCTTCACCATTGGCTCTGTCTCTGGGGAAGCAGAAACACATAGAGTTCATTTGTTACTCTCAGGAATTTTTACCAGCCCCTGAACAGATGCCACACACACACCCAACTCCATAAGCTCTGGTAAATACCCCTGCTGCCCTTCCTGCCAGGGAAGCCCATGGGGAGCTAGAACCCGTGAGTTACCTGGGAAGCCAAGCAGCAGAGTGGTGCTCAGAAGAGCTTAGGGGTCAGCATGGGCAGGTGCTGGGTCCTTCAAGGTCCTGACTCCATGGAGAATGCGTCTCTAGCAAATCCCCCAGAGCCACTGATGCTGCTGGTTCCGGGCCTCTCAGTGAGATGTCTTGTAAGAACACTGGATAGGAGCAGAGGCAGGAAGCCAGGTCTCAGAGGTCACTGAGGTCAAGCAAGAGCCACCACACCTGTCCTGCCTATCCTCAGGACCCACCCCAGGGCCTCACCCGGGTTGCCCCTTGCCTGGATTGCACACCTGTAAGCCCTGGAATCATGTACTGGGCATGAGGGAGATACCTCTAATAATAGGTGTCTGGGCTCTGGGCTCCTGCCAATGGTCCTCCATAGGACACTCACACCTTCTTCAAGGCAGGAAGGTGGGAAGCTCACAGATGGAAGGAAGAGGCAAAGCCATTTCCTGGCCCGAGAGTGCAGAAGCCCCTAAAACTCTATCCTTTGCCCCCTCGGTGCTCCCCACTCCCCCCTTTGCTACTGAGGCTGGAGTGACTCAAGTGAGACCCAGCTCTGTGACCCAGACCCTAGTGCCTTCAGTTCTAGCTAGGGACTTTTAGGTTCAGGCCCACCACATCCTCTCTGACAATGCAGAATTCTTTAAACCCAAAGGACAATCTTTTTTTTTTTCTTTTTTTTTTTGGTGGGAGTGTGTCGAGACAGGGTTTCTCTGGAAACAGTCCTAGAACTTGCTTTGTAGATCAGGTTGGCCTCAAACTTACTGAGATTTGCCTGTCTTTGCCTCAAGTGCTGGGATTAAAGGTGTGTGCTACCACCACCGCCACCGGGCCCAAGGGACGTTCTTTGTTTATGTCTTCTATTATATCTGAGACTATTCAGGGACAAGCTTGGACTGCCACCCTGTCACCCCTTAATGCTTCCATCCTCCTGGAGAGCCAGGTCTTATTTCTGTCCGATGACAAAGCCACCACGGGGGAAGACTCAGGTGCCGTCTTCAGGCAAGCCTGTCTCTTGGAGAAGCATGTCCCTCAGGGTAGTGCTGGCAATGGACAGCCAAGCCTCCAGCTGTATCAGGGAGTGGGAAAGGCTTGGAGTGCATCTGGCACGTCAAAGGCATGGGAGCTAACCTAGAGGGTTCCCACGACCAAAGCAAGAGGCAGTAATAAACACCACATAAATGTCCATGAGCCCACACTGTATAAATAAATGAGCAAATCATTAAATGGGAAAGAGGGGCGTCTTTGAGAAGAATCCTAATTAATGAGTATAGAAGGATTGAGGGAAATAAAATGCCACCATTAGAATGCCACAGAAGTCATCGCTGCCAGCGACAACCACCACCGAGGAGGCAGGAATTAATGAGAGCAAGCTTGAGGAGGAACAGTATATTTGCATAGTCACAAAGTATCTCCTGCAAGATATTTATTAATTCCAAAGGAAAAAATAGTAACTCTACAGAAAAGAGGCTCTGTAGGCACCAGCTGCGGTCAATCACCAAGGTTAACTTCTCTAAGACCGCCCTCATTATGAACGTCCACAGGATTCTCTGAAGCCCTCCTCAAAACCTTTATATTCAGTCTAATTATGAAAAATGCCTGGGACTGAGGACATAGTTCAGACAGTAAAGGGCTTGCCAAGTTTAAGCCCCGAGACCTGTGCAAAAAGCTGAGTGTCAAGGGCTGGAGAGATGACTCAGTGGTTAGGAGCATTGACAGCCCTTTCAGAAGGCCCGGGTTTGCTTCCCAGCACCCACAAGGTGACTCACGACCACCTGTAACTATCTCAGAGGATCTGACGCTCTCTTCCGGCCTCCATAAGCACCTGCTGTACATGAGGTGCAGTGGCATAGGTGTGGGTGAAACACCAGGACAGATAAAATGAAGCTTAGGGAGGTTTAGTGGCATGTGTTTATAATCCCAGCACTGGAGAGGTACAGACAGGCTGATCTCTTTGATCAGACCAGCCTTGCTTAATCTGTGAGATCCAGGTCCTTGTGAGAGACCTTGTCTCAAAAAACAAGGTGGAAGGCATTGGAGACAAAGCTCAGTAATTCAGAGCACTTCTGTTCTTGCAGAGGGCTGGTGTTCAATTCCAAGCACCATATGGCAGCTAGCCATCATCTGCAATTTCAGTTCTAAGGGATCTGACACCTCTTTCTGGGCTCTAAGGGCATTGCATGTATGCACATGTATGCAACCTGGCACACAGACATACACACACATAAAATAAACAAAAACAAGGTGGAAGGCACCTGAGGAGTGACACCCGAGGTTGACCTGTGGCCTCCACACCTGAACACGCACGCACGCACACACACACTCACACACACACAAAGAAAAAGAACACTTTGTGTACCCAAAGCAAGAGACATTCTACGGAATAAGGGACCAGTACTATCCCAAGGAAGAGGAGATGTCACAGGGTGGAAGCTAGGAAGGCCTAGTCACCAAGCACAGCGTGGCCTCTGGGTAGGATCCTGGAACATGAGAAACCACAAGTGGAAACTAGAATCCCAGCAAAGTGTGCCAACAGCTCACTTTGCATATCTGTGCTGTGATTGGCTGTGCAGGAGACGTTGGGTAAAGCATATGCAGAAAATTTCTGTCCTATTTTGAAACTTTCCAGTCTGTGTTGAAACTACACTAAATTACAGGTTACCCTCCTTGGCCACATTTGCAGGCCAGGCTCTGCTGCAGCCAACATTGTTCAGCTCTGCCATCCCACACGCAGACGACCCATGCAGCCCTGATGCCCTTCCTCCCACGAGTGGCACCAAATGGAAACAGGAAAGAGCTCTGTCACCATCAGCAAACAAACCCTCTCTGCGCCTATAACTTGACAAAAAACTCCCACAGGGATGTCCTGACCACTGCTCTCAGTAGGACCACAGCAACAGTTGGACTCTCATCTTTGAACAAGAGCAGGTGAGGATCCAGCCTCCCCAACCCTATTGACTGGGGGTGCTGTGAAACTTGAAGTGCTGAACGGTGGTCCCAAACAAAAGCAGACCACCAGGGAATAAGAGAGATGGCAAACAAAAGGACACGGTGAGAGCATCTGGGGAGGCCAGCAAGCCCCAAGGGACATACACCTGCTGGGAATGGCAAAACCCAGCCGGAGAGGTGCAGGTAGCATGGCAAGTTTGCTGTTTCTCTTTCCAAGTAGCAGAGCGCCTCGGGGATCACCTGCCTACAACAGGCTAGGAATGTGAAACTGAGGACAGCTCTTGGGAGTGGCCATGGCCACCGGAGAGGCACTGTTCAGAGCTGGCACTCACATGACACAAAGCAGCAGGTTGTCAACCACCCGCTGAGGCCACCTCTTCTGTTGTCTATGATTCCTTCCCTTACCATACCCTCCACCAGTTCCCAACTCTGTACACCACATGACATAAAAACCACAGCTGGGGTAAGGCAGGAAGAACCTGCCGATTTGTGCTGTATCACTAGGCCAACTCATAGCCGTTAGTAAATCCCTCAATGGCTGTCACTCCTGGCCCAGATAGAAGGCTATAGAATATAGAGATGGGCACCCAGGCATTAAAAAAAATACCTTTACAAAAAAAAAACTAACAATAACCCCTCGAGCCTACCATCCATCACCTAACTTGCTGCCTAACTCCACATCAAAATTCCTTTTGAAAAGTTATTTTGAAACTGGCAGTAGTGTCTCTGCCACCTCCAGTAAAGTTGACAAAGGAGTGATGTCCAGAGGAAGCAAGAGACCTCACACGCCATCCCATCCCCTGAGGGTCTATGCTCTCAACGGAAGGGCTCTCTCAGAGAGCTAGACCTGGAAGCCTCCTCCCTACCCCCTATCCTTGAGCCCTGCAAGGACTCAACCCCTATAATGAACACAATCATAGGCCTGAGTCATTTCTACCCAATCAAGGCAGCAGCAGGCGGTATCTGTGTGTGCCCGCTGCCTTCATGCTGCGAAGTAGATTAATAAACCATTAGGATAAGCAGGCTGGTTATTAGCCTGAGAAGGAGGCTCTTAGCTAATTGAAGCCATCCAGCAAAAATGTCAATGCTGTCTTTGGATATGAAATATTAATGGCACCCAAGCCCGGACTAGAAGGCAAGAGGTTGCTTCTGACCTCTTCTTATATGACCAAATGTCAGATGGGGCCTTTCTCCAGGGACAAGCCACAGACTCATCCAGGGGCTGTGGCCCTCAGCCACAACTAAAGACGCACCCCCTTGCAGGGAGGTCCTTAGACCAGCTCTGTATCGTGGTGATATACTGTGTACCGTGGGGGCAGGAGTGGTGTTTGGTGACATGTGTGACACTTTTCTTGCTGCATTTCTAGAAATCCCTATGTATAGGGAGTTCAGCCCCAGCCCTTTTGGGGGGTTTCAACTTGTATGATGCCTGAAGCCTGCTGGGGGCTTCAGATCTACCTTTTAGTTGACATTCAGCTGGTCTCCATCTGGACTGCTCATCCCAGGGCCTCCAGGATCTTTAAACTTGGATGAATGTTAATCTAGTGTTCCATACCTTGGAACAAAGTCCTCAAGACCCCCAAAGTATCTCTGAGCCAGGTCCTGCCTCTTCTCCCTGGACCAGTGTTGGATGCCCTCTCTATCTCAGCAGTGTCTTTAACAGCTCAATCCTCTATCATGGACTGGCCTCCCGGGATTTGCAGCTCCTCTCTACAACGCCTGCCTTCCTAGAGGTGATGGTGATCCGGGGTAGAACGAACTCAGCTGAGGCCTGCATCCTAGCCTGGGGTTGCTTCTGTCCCTGCTCAAGCCTTGCTTCCTGCCTGGAACAAGGTGAGAAGGATACATGGAAACCAGCTCAGAGCCTGTGCTGGGGCTGTGACTTGAATCTTAGTACTTCAATCTTCAGTAGAACCCAATAGAATGTCAGGTCTGAGCAGGAGGCTGGAGATGAGTTGTGCAGGGCAAACCAGGATCCCTAGTCAAGAGGAAGGCTGGCTAGGGTGACCTTGGACAAGACAGGCAGAGGGTAAAACCCCAGGCACTGGGGATCAAGAGCTGAGGTTACTGTGAGCCCACGGGAGGAGGGCCAGCTCTCTTGAGCCAGTTGGACACAAGGGATCACCTAAGAAGGGGAGTCAGATTCTGAGCCCTCCCCCCGTGTGATAAATATTAATAGCCTTTTCCCATGTTGCTATAGCAACCACACCTTTGTAAACGTATCAGCTCTTTTTGTGTGTTAGATTTTATGAGACTGACGTCAATTTTTTTCTGACAGCAATCTTGAAAGAGGCTCCATGTTGTTGCTTTTTCTGTTAGGATAAATCCTAATTACTCTTGTTTGAAGATTCTTTCAAGACTGCCCTGACAGCCTGGCCGTCGCCATCTCCCTTTCAGGAGCTGTGGTCATCTCTAACACCTTTCACATCAGTCCACCCCTTCCCAACACAGATGCCCCCTCAGAGTCAATAGCATTGTCCACTAGAGACTCACTCAACCTACCAAAGCGGTCACTCTCAGCTTGTGTGAGAGAGGAGAGGCACCTTGTGTGGCGACATGTACTGGATGTCTTCAAAATGCACACTGTAAAGAGAAGCCTTCCCGCCAGCCTGGTTCCAGAGCCACATCAGTCCCAAATAAACACACAGGAGGCTATGTTAATTATGAAGCTGGTGGCCTTGCTTGTTTCTTACTGGCTAGCTCTGACTTAAGTATTTACCCCATAATTGTTAATCTAAGTATTTCTCTTACCGGAGCAAAGTTTCCAGGCTTCTTACCCCTATGGCAGTTACATCTTGACTTCCTGTGTTTCTCCTACCCAGAGTCCTCCTGGACTCCTAGTCCCACCTATCTTGCTTCCCTATTGGCCAACAGTGCTTTATTGACATATACACAGGACTTCCCCCATCAGCACACATTAGGGCTGGAGAGACTGCTCAAGTAGGTAAAGGTACTTGAAGCCAAGCCTGACAACCTGAGTTCAATCTCTGGATCCATATGATAAGATAGAACTTACTCCTACAAGTTGTCCTCTGACCTCTAAATGAGCACACACACACACACACACACACACACACACACACACACAGCTGTCCAACGAAAGAGGTTTGAATTAATCCTGTTGCCTGAGTGCAATGGAACACTCTAGACAGTGACATATGATGCTGGGGTAGAGGTGCATTTGCTGACATATCCAAGTGTTCACGACACATTGTTCAGTGAAATTAAGGTCACCCACAGCAAGTACGAATGTTACACAGTGACGCATGCCTTGCTTGTGTGGAGGGGTGGACAGTAAGTTATCACTGGGACTGCTTCCCAATCCAGAGATAGTGAATCTTTCCCTCCCCTCCCCCTTCTCTTTTCTCAGTTCTGAGGATTCGCTGGTCTTTCTAACGTGGCCTGAGTGATTTGTTCAGCCAAATGCTTTTTTTAACAGTTTTATCAGGTGCAGTAATGTACACCTTAACCCCTGTTTTTAAGAAGAAAGCAGTGTGTCCCCCTCACCCCAGCACAGATCAGAAGAGGCCCCTGGTGCCAGAGAGGAGAGGGAGTGGTCCTCTCAGAGCCTCCTTCTTACAGAAAATGTAATCAAAAAGTTCCCCTCACAGTCCTGGCTCCCTGACTGGCGGCTGGGCATGGGTGTGGAAGTTGCCTTGGATGCTCATTGCACAGTCTCTTAGGGACACAGCAGTGGCCAGGAGGTTGCCTGAGGGCTTGCTCCCTTGGCTTTCTCATTATTTCCTGCTAATCAGCGTCACACACCCCGAGGGATGCTGGCCCTGAATGCCACCAGCTGCTCACAGGAGCCTCTCCCCTGTTCTGAGCATGCTTGACTGAGTTTGGGAAGACAGGGTGTAAGCAGAGCTGACAGCCCCATCTGTTTGCTTCTGAGCAGCAAGAAGTGCTCGGAGCCTGGCACAGATCCCTATGAACGCTCACAGCCCAAGCAAGGGGAGGTGGCGACGCCCCAGCCCAGCCTGTAGCCCCCCCCCGCCCCCACCTCTCTGTGCTGGCCCAGCCTGGAGCGGTGGTAGTAAGACTGAAAATCAGGCCTGCCGCCCAGACACCCCCAGGACAGGTGCATAGGCTGTGAAGTGGCCACAGAGATGGTGAGAACCTGGCACACCCTTCACATAAAGCCCAGGCTAGCCCTCCTTTACAGAGAAGGTCCGGGACTCAGGATGGCAACTGTTCCGGCCTAGCTAACCCATGAACAGGGCACCAAGATATCTGAATCCAGATGCTGGGCTCTAAGGTGCCTGTGAAGGTAATGAGTTCAGAACTGAGTGGACTTGCCTGGGCCACAGGATTCCAGATGGCGTGAGAGTCAAGCCTCAGGCTCTCCTTCCCACCAGGGAGACAAGGAGGAAGCTGGGTCGTGCCCGCCACCACACGCACATCTTGTGTCCCAGAACAAGCAGGCCCAGGAGGCAGGCAAGCCTAAACAGTAGGTGGGCGGGGTCTGGGCAGGCCTGGAAGAGAACAGGGGTCACCTGGCGTCCCTGGCAAGGGATTCTTGAAAGGGAGGCTTTTGAGCTAAAGTTTCAAAGCATCTGGCCCGTCCTTGATGATGGCGGTTACAATCTCAGGAGGACTACCCAGTGCTCAGGCCTGTATGGAGCTGGGGCCCATGAATGCTGAGGAAAACCAGTTCAGGCAAAAGAACTCCCGGCCCTCCAGGAATGTGCAGCAGCTGAGACAGAGTAAGGGTGGCAGCTTCAAGCTAAGATGTGTTAGGTCCAAAGGAAACTCCAATTCTCCAGACTCCAAAAGGCAGTCCCATGAGTACAACCTGGACTGTAGGAGGATTTCCAATGGTTAGATAAAAGCCAGCATTCCTCAGGAACTTGTGAAACTGCTTCTCAGCTGCGAAAAAGAAAAAAGGAGTCATTTCCCTTGCCTCTGGCAGAAGGGACATATGGCTACCTGTGGCACCTATCAGCTTGTCAAAATGCAAGCTGGCCTCCAGGTTCCCCCAGTATCACAAATACCTGTTACACATTTCAAAGTCCAGGCTAGCATCCTAGCCCTTCTCCCGTCTTCCCCTATTCTAAACTCCCTCCAGCTCATGGGCTTCCCTCCCCCAATTCCCAAATACTCGGTAGCCTTATAACCCTGTTATTCTTGCTGTTTCCTCTCTCTGTGTGTCTCTCTCTCTGTCTCTCTGTCTCTCTCTCTGTCTCTCTGTCTCTCTGTGTCTCTCTCTCTCTCTGTCTCTCTCTGTCTGTCTTTCTCTCTGTGTCTGTCTCTCTACCTCTCTTCTCTCTATCCCTCCCCGTTGAGCACCTGCTTTCCTCAATGTTTTCTCCGTTCTCTATCCCCTGCTATTCTGTCTCTCAGAATCTGCTGGCCATGTTCAGTCTACTTTCTCTCTCTGCTCTGGACTCTTTCAGATGCCTCTGGGTGTTCTCTCTCCAAATCTACAATAAAAAAACCTCCCCCTTAACCATACTGTGGAACAGTGATATTGTCTGTTTATACAAGATGGTTCCCCAAACTGTCTAAAACTGACACTAGGAGCCCAGGCATCTGCATCCCTGCAGTCTTAGTGCCTGAGGGTGTGTGCAGCAAGAGTGGCTGTTTGGGCAGCACAGTTCACTGCAGGACAGGGGTAGGGGGTCAGGAGCCAGCAGACTCCACATCAGCCCTGTCACACCTAGGGCCAAAGCGAGTTCCCCAGCTCTCAATGCAGGAGACAAGCCCCTGTGGCTCCTGGACTTCCTGGAGTGGTTGCCACACCGCAGAGCCTGTGTGCACCTGAGAACCCTACTCTCTCCTGGTGCATTTGAAGGACTGAGTCACCCCCATGCCCTCGCTGGCATCCAAGATGTTGCAGAACTCTGCCCTTTGAACAAAACAGTTGCCACCCTCATCAGATCAGCTGAGCCTCTGTGCAAATGTTCACCATCATCGGGCCTTTAGACTAACATCCCCCCCATAGAAAGAGGGATGGTGAGGGTCACTGGACCCTCATTTGAGATTCCAACACCTTCACTCAGCCATTTATATGCAATTCTGCCCTAAGGACACACGGTCTAAGTGGTTGGGAGGTCCTAGAGCAGTGGTTCTCAACATGGGGATTTAACTATGAAGGAGCAAAGAAATAATGTTATGGTTGGGGAGTCACCACAACAGGAAGAACTAAAGCATTAGGAAGGTTGAGAACCCTGTGCTAAAGTGTATAAACTGGACAGGTTAATTGAAGAGGGGAGCCCCTCCATGTGGCTATGGGGAAACCATCTCCATACTGGATGGAGACCACAATGTGGCTGTTGTGGGGTCACCCACACTTCCACAGTTAACCACTTACCTATGCTCTGTAAGAAGCCCCATAAACTCATTGGTTCCCCAGGATGAATTTTGGTGGAATCATGCCTTTGTTTGTCATTGGGAACTTAGGAGGAAGGGGTAGATAGACATTGCATATATCTCCCCAAGGAAGGAATTCTCAAAGCACATGGTGACAGACCCCCTAGTCCCTTACCAGGAGCTCCTCCTTTCAGAGTCCGCCCTGCTGGGCCAGCACATTGCATCTTTAAAACAAGTGTTTTCCCCTTTATGATGCACTGACTAGGGCCACCCCAGCTGGGCAGAAAGCAAGCTTCTTCCCCACACCTATCCACAGGGAAGTCACTGAGCTCCAAAGCAGCCTGGGCGGGCGATATAAGACTACAGACCTACAAACCCATCAGCAATAGGCATCACCCACTGTGCATTTGTCTCCCCCAACAGTTTGTAGTATGCACATTTACATGTGTGTCCGACCTTCCTTGTCAACCATGATGGTCAAAGCCTCAGTGAAACTACCTCATACTGAGGTCTATGTACATCAGTTGCCTTCTGAGCTGGAAGACCTAAGATGTAGGCGGGGCAAGGCAGCATGAAGCCACTTGACCTTGTTTCTGTAGCTGGAAAGTGGAATTGGTACAAGCTCTGCCAATTAGCGGCCAAGAAATGTCTACTAAGTGGGAAGTTCCCAGGAGCCTCCACGTGGGGCAGCAGGGGGCAGGGAGGGGAGCCAGGTGGAGACTGAGAACAAGAGATGGAACGGTGCAGTAACTTCTTGCCTTGATCAATAGTTATTTCTCTATTGCAAATTACTTACGTTTCCCTAGAAGCCATAAGAGAGGTATCTGCTACCCATCAGCTATGACAGAAATGCTGTTGGAATTCACAGATTCAGGAGGGTTGGAGTGTCCACTGTTTGCTCAGTAATCTGCAGCAAGCAGAGAGAGGACAAGCAAGCAGAGAAGAGAGCTAATGAACCCTGGAGCTACAGGGCTCTGCCCAGTGTTGCTGACACAGCAGGTGTGAGACTACTGGTCCCAGGAAGCTACCACAGCACTAAGGAAGTGGGTCAGGCTTGCTGACTTTGACCTTTCTCCCTGGTCTTGGTCTAACTGACCCCAGTCATGAACTGGACTGTGCTCTGGGCATGTCTGTAGAAAATAGGATGAACAACTGCCCTCTAGGGACAAAAGTCCACACGGCAGTAACCATGGAGAATTCAAATAAAGTAGGGAGGCAGTGAGCCACAGGCCCACAAGAGGGGCTGCTATAGGATTGTGGGGGATGGTTGTCTTTGGAGCACAGGCAGGAGAGCCTCAAAAGAGCTTGTCCCACTTGTTGCCTGCTGTTGTGGATCTGATAGTACCCTCCTCCCCCCCAAAAAATATGCCCCACACCACCTTTCCAGACTCTGACAGGAATGCTCACTTGGAGTTTGATGTCTGGGCCCTGCCAAACCCTATCTGAGTGAGCCGTTGCCCCTATGCTACTGCCTGTTGACC